CCAGTTTACTATTATACAACTTCAGTTCATCTCCAAAGGGAGTTAAGAGAACAAGGACTCTGTACCTATACACACATACACACACACACAAACCCCCAAAAGAAAAACCTGCCAATTCCAAATTGGCAGGAGAGCCTAAATTATCCTAAGTGAAGAAAAGGGCTCAAAATATCCAGGAGAAAAAAAAACAACACCTGAGCAAACAAGAAACTTGTAGAAATGCTGCTACCTCCTGATACAGAAGCACTGAGAGCTTACAGGGTCCACAGGAAACTAAAAGGAACCAGCAGGCCTTGCAGACTGGGCCTGGGTCAGAACCACCTGGGAGAGCTGGAGGAGACTCAGACTGCTCCACACCCCATGTTGCTGACAGAAATAGGCCAGAGGTAGGGCCCAGGATTATGATGGGGATGTTACTGCCAGTCCGTTGACCAAGTCTGGAGCAGCACCTGACTTTCTACATAAGGAGGAACCAGGACCCCCTCAGAGCTGGACCCCAGCGCCTGTGACAGCGGCTGGCACACACTGCTGGTCCCCTGTTCTAGAGTTGTTGAACAAAGGCCCATTGTAACTTTCATTTCCAGAAAAAAAAGTGGGCTTCCCTGGTGGCCTGAAGGTAAAGAGTCTGCCTGCAATGCAGGTAGACCAGAGTATGATCACTTGGTCAGGAAGATCCCCTGGAGGAGGAAATGGCAACCCACTCCAGTATCCTTGCCTGGGAAATCCCATGGACAGAGGAGACTGGCAGGCCCCAGTCCACAGGGGTTGCAAAGAGTCAGACACAACTGAGTGACTAACACTTTCACACTTGGCTATACTTGAGGCAGGTATCTTTACACACATTCACTTAAAAAAACAAAACTGCACATGTGCCAAGTATGACAATCCCTGACCTGAAGGGGCTTTACAGTTCAATTAAATCAACCCCAATCATAGATACAAGTAACACTTTTTCCCCCTGCAGCATCAGATCAATCCAATCTTTGAACCTCTGCCACTGAGTAGAACCAGACAACTCACCTATCCAATGATCCCAAATAAAAACCCTGCTTTCAAAAAAAACCCTGCTTTCAATAAAAGAAGCCAATTCATTTCACACATACTCATGCAAAAAAAGAAAAAAAAATTTTTTTTTTAATCAAGACAAGAATTTGCCTGTAGAGAACACAGGTACCTGTGTCCATCCTGGAACCAGAGGTGGGTTCCTTCATGGCACTTCCAGGAGTTAGAATTCTAAGCACCCCATGGGCCAGACGGTGAAAGTACCACTAGGGCTTCACAGATTTCTTCTCTTAACTCCTGTTTACTGAGCAAAGCTCAGAAGAGGCTTTGGCAGGCATTTTTCAAATCCTCTGCCTGATCTGCATATTACCATAGTCACATTCATTCTGGAAAAAAAAAAAAACAAACAGGTGTTTCTGTTAAAATTAGCTGCTTCAAACTGTCAAAGATTTTAGATCCCTATGCCAGCTTAAAAAAAAAAGTATTTGCAAAATAACCAATCAGGTTTAAATGATGCTTCCAGAATTATGAACTCTAGATATTTTTTTAGAAATGTGACTTAAAAAAAAAAAAAAGAAAAACTGGGGTGGAGATGAGGTTGGAGTTCAAAACACATAAACACGTAATTTTTGCATTTCCTAACATCAACCCAGAAAGAGTAACAGAAAAAGGCCAAGCTTAAACAACCACGGAAAGACAGAGCTATGCTTTTTTTCTAGTGAAGTCTTGTGTTTGAAAGCCTTTTGTCCCATTTACTTCGGTTGACTGTCATAAATAATGGCTTCTGTTTCGAGAACAGTGCCATAATCATTTCCTTCTCTCAGAACCATTCAAAGGAAGGTTTACAACATTCTCAGTCAGGATGGTGTCCATTTAGCCCGTGTTTAACAAAACTTGCCCTCGGAAGTCAGAAGAGCCCAAGGATAGCTGTCTAAATTAATTCTAGGGTGGTTTAATCTGGAAAAAGAAAAAAAAATCAGGCCACTGTGATTTTATTCCTGGAACCAGTATCTCTGCTGCCCTTATTAAACCCAATGAAATAGGTCTGAGATGCTTTCACAAAATCAGGGCTATTTAAAAAACAAGTTTAGCTGCTTGGTACATTGGGAGAAGTGGGCTTCCCAGGTGGCTCAGTGGTAAAGAATCTGCTTGCCAAGAGGGAGACACAGGTTTGATCCCTGGGTTGGGACGGTCTCCTAGAGAAGGAAAATGGCAACCCACTCCAGTTTTCTTGCCTGGAAAATCCCATGGGCTGAGGAGCCCAGCAGGCTTACAGTCCACCAGGTTGCAAGAGAGCTGGACACAACTTAATGACTAAAGAACAGCAGCAATGTATCGGGAGGAAGTTAAAATATCAAAGACTTGTGCCCAGCTAAGCAAGTGATACAGACACACAGAAACAGTGCATTCCTCACTCTATACTTTCCTGAAGCCTGTTGAAAAAATACAAGCGGAATTCACTTAAAGCCACCTGCTGGATGAAAAATCCTAAACTTTATCTTAGAGATAGAGGGAGAAAAAAAGAGGTCAACACACAACGGAATCTTTGATCAATTTCAGACGACAGAGATTTCAACTACAAGTCCAAAAATCTTTAATACATAGAAATGTTAAAAGCAGTGGTCACTTGGCTAAGAGGAAAAGTTTCAAAATTAATTTGGTGACTAGCTAGTTAACTGTATCCAAGTAGATAGGGAAAGTGGGTTTTTTTCTTCTTTTTTTTTTTTTTTGGCTTGCACTGTCCTGAAAATTGCTTCTGCAAGGAATGAGTCCAAGGAACAATTGGCAATTCTTTTTTTCCTAATCAGATACCAAATTTGCAGATTTCTGGCTCTGGTTTTATTTTACTATGTTCCATTCAGTTGACTCTTTGTGATCTGCACAGGCTAAAGGAAACATGCAGTTATTACTTATGGAAATCCAATGAATAAAAGTAAGTAAAAATTCCTATATGCAAGCAGGACTGTCACTGGCACATAGGTTTGGTAGGTTTTCTCCCCTTAAATGCTTCCTGAACCTGACCAATCCAGACTTAAAGAAGGGCAGGGGGAGAGGAATAAACATTCAAGGTTATTTTCATCTTTTGTAGACTTCAGAAATTTAAATCTACCAGAATCTAAGAGAGAAAAAGAACAGCTCCCTTGACCATTTTTAAAAATGTATACACTCGACCACTTTAAGACTTTTTCAAACTTCAGAGACGCTCAAGGAGTGAAGTAACCCAACAGATTTAAAGAGGTTCTCCATGCTGAATACAATGTTCTTGTAATAAATACAGTCACTCAAGTAAAAACAATCACTACAACTTTCCTCTAACATACCACAGTGGAAAAATCTTTTTCTTTTCAGCTCTGTGACAACTGCGAAGGTTTAGGCACAACAAATCCCAAGAAATATAAATAAATAAACTAAGCAAATTTAAAGCACGTACTAGTTTTATCCACGTAGCTCTCTGATAGGCACGACAAATACATTTGTTGTTTTTTCAGTGGGAAAATGTTCAAAACTCAGCAAAACCATACACCTCTCCCCCAATATTTTTTTTCTTAAAACTGTCTGCAGAAAGGACCCGCTACCTTAAAGTAATTCCAGATTTCACTGAACAAAGCATCCAACATACAAGCAACCAGTGCATATCTTAGACCAAGGTCACAAAGATAAGCCCTTCGCCTGCCATCATGCCCTGAGTCTAGAGAATTATTATCACACTTTTCAGAATACTTCCCCCTCCACTGAACAGTCTACATTTGTTTGGTTTTCTAAAATCAAGAGCAGTTGCTTCTTGTCTGAACAGACCTGTCTACATACTCTCATTTAACACACAGTACTTTTGCAGGTCCATACACAGATTCCCGTATGTGCATTCCACATGGGACTAGCAAGAGCCTTAATCTGAAAAAGACAGGCGGAATACAAATCAGACTGCAGTCAGCCTGAACCCTGTTCATTAGGCCAGAAAGATGAGAAGGGGACAATGGATGCAAAATTACTTTCCAGGAGAAACTAGAAGCAAGACAGAAAAAAACAAAGAAAACCCAAACAGCCACTCTAGCACTATAGGTAATCTAACCACTGAATGTGTCCCCTGCCTTTACAAGGGGACAGTTTTCTTTCTACAAACAGTTCTCTCTTCTTGAATTCTAGGCTGTTCAAATAAGTTAACTCTTCAGGAAAAAGCATAAAGGGACCCACCTCACTACTACTGAAGCGAAACCTTTCTAGGGTGCCTTTCCAGGAATGACAGGCAGCCTGCAACATTACAATTATTGAAAAATCAACAATCATTGCAGAAAATCATCTGAGAAACATAACATTTTAATAGATGAAATAAATACTCCAGTACATGCAAGGTAAAAACTTGACATTGGGGGAGGGGGATCACTCTATAGTGTAAATTAAAAAATAAAACACACACTCACAGTAGCTTTCTCCCCCCATTTGCAAATCACATGGCAAAGTCATACTCTTTCCACACCAAGTATACGCCTAATCCATCACGACTGCTTAAAAAAATAACAACATACAAACAAAAGGTAGCTACATCCATGTCTAAGGAGTGAAAACTGAGGTAACCTTTCTTTTAATTAGGGAAGAAAATAAAAGACCAAAAAAGAAATGAACCCATGACCTCCTTCCTGCCCAATTAATAATAAAAATTTAGTTGAGGAGTCCCGGAAGGGGAGCTGGGTTAGGGGGCGGGGGTTAACACCGCAACCAGCAGAAGTCACATCTTCCACCTGCTGGTCCCTACTGTGCTTGGGCTGGTGGGGCACGGGGGCCCTCAGAGTGCGTGCATAAATGGCATGTATGCATGGCCCTGCCTTCTGGAAGATTCCTCACAAGCATTTAAAGGGGCGGGGGGTAGGGGGGAAGCTTCACCGTTGATTTCTTTGGTATAAATGGAAAAGGGAAGAGAATATGTTATCTTCCTTTAGCCTGGGAGTGGGGGGGAAGGGGTGGAACAGGGGATAAGGGTGAGGATTGGGGGGGGGGGGGTGCTAATTCACAGAATTGGAATTCACTGGCGGTAAAGTCCTGGGCGAAGACCTCTCCCTTAAAGCCTGAGATAGCAGGGTGCAGCCTTCAGACACGGCGCAGGCCGAGTTCCTCAGCCTCTCCCTGTGGTCCGACATCTTGGCGCCCCCGTCGGGGTGCTGCGCCAGATCCCTGAGGCACTGGGTCAGGAGCACGCAGGCCGACACCACGCTCATGGCGCCTCCCAGGATGGCGGTCTGCACCGCCTTGCCCTCGGCGCTCACAGCCGCCGCGCGACCCAGGAACTGCGGCTCGGTGGCGAAGCCCACTAGGGCGCCGACCGCCTGCACCAGCGGCCCGCTGAAGAGCGCGCAGCGGCTCCGCGCCAGCTCGCTGGGTGCCGCCTTCACCTCGCGCACGCAGGCCAGCAGCGCCGAGGCGCTGGTGCTCATGCACTTGACGCCCAACTTGAACTGCTCACGCGAGAAGCGGTCCCGGGACTTGTCGCTAGCCAGGGCGCACGCGTCCGTCAGGAACTTGAGGTTGCGCGACAGGCCCTGCGACACCTCAAGCAGCAGCTGTGGGGTCATGTCGGCCAGCGGGGTGGCGCGCAGCACGGCGCAGCCTTGCTCCACCTCGTGGCGGCAGCGCGTCACGCGGTAGCGGTCCACTAGGCCTGGCTGCGCGGGCTGCGCGCCCGGCGTGGCCACGGCCGCCAGATACGCCGCGTGGGCGGAGCACTCGGTCAGGGAAACCACCAGGTCTCCCAGCTCCACCAGGCTGTCCCCTGCCTCCCCGAAGCGGCCCATGTTGAGCTGACTCTGCACGTCGTGGGTGAGGATGGAGAGCCCCTTGGTGCGCGCGATGATGGTGTCCCGGCACTGCTCGAAGGACTCGGCGCCAGCGCAGGCGGAGGCGGGACCCTCGAAGAGCACGGGCCGCGCCTCACTCGACAGCAGCAGCAGGTCGGCCACCAGCTGCATCTTGCCTTTGCAGTGGTCACAGACGGATACCAGCCTCTTCCGCGGCTGCGACGAGGCCCCGCCGACGGCGCTCGCTGGAGCCGGAGAAGCCGCCTCGATACTGGGCTTCCCAGCGCTGCCGCTAGCCATCGCGCCCGGGGGGCACTGGCATGCCGCTGGGGAGCCTGCTACCACCGCCGCTGCCGATGCCGCCGCCCCCGCGGCCGTCGCGACTCAGCTGGCCAAGGCCGCGGTGCCTTCCCCGCACCATCATGCCATCCACCGCCGCGGGCAGAGGGCACTGGGCAGCGGCGGCCGGAGCCCCGGCGGCGCGGAGCGGGCCCGGGGGCCACAAAACGCAGGAGGATCGTCGGGGCGCGGTGAGGGGCTGCAGCTTTCGGCCTCTTGGAGGGCTTGCAGGAACCATGAACCAGGGCAGAGCAAACTCACAGACTGCGCTTCTCGTCGCCGGAGTGCCAGGAAAGTCCCTTCCTCTGGGCTGCCGCCGCCGCCGCCGCCGCCTTCCTGGGCATGGCCCGGTCCGACTGCCAGGGCAGGGGGGGGCGGGAGAGGGAAGCTGGGAGTTGTCCTTCCTTCCTTTCTTTCTTTGAAATCAAAATCCTTTCCTCGGGGAGGAGCGCGGGCGGCGGCTCCGGCAGGCTCTGCTGTCAGCCACCTCGGGCTCGGCGGCGCACGTGGGCTTCAGGCTTCCAGACCCCGCCGGGCGGCACTTCCTCGCGACGGCGGCCGAGGCTGGCCCTCGGGGACGCACAGCCGCCCCGTGGGCATCTCCTGCCTCCCGCTCTCGGGAAGCGGCGGCAGCAGGGCCGAGGGTGTGGCCGGTGCTGGCGCGGCCGAGTCAGAGTCGGGCGGGAGCCTGCACTGATTGCGCACAGCGGCCGCCCCGCTCGCGCTCTCGCCCGCCCGCCACGCCCGGGCGTGCCGGGCGCCGCGGCGGCCCCTTCCCGCCTCGCCGGTTCACAGAGCGCGGCCCGGAGCCGAGGCGGCACGCCCTCCCGGACCGCGCGCCCCACGGCCCGCCGCCGGCTGTCGGCGCGAGTCCATCCCCGTCGCCTCCTCTTCGCCTTGGGCCCGCAGCTGCTGAGCTCTCCCGGGACCGCGGGCCCTGAGCATCGGACGGCGCCGCGCGCGTCTCCCGGGCGGCCCGGTCAACTCAGAAGGTCCCCGCGGCGCTGCAGAGACCCGCCCGGGCCCCGGCTCCTGCCATTTTTGTCAACCTCCAACTTCCGAGCGAGCCGGGAGAAACTGAAAGGAAGGGCGGGGGCCGAAAGGCAGAGGGGAAAACACCCGCTTCCTCTCTCCGCGCGGCTTCACCTCGGAGCACGGCCGTGGCTGCGCCGCCGCCCGCTCGCCCGCCGGGGCCGCTGGAGGCTTTTCCTCTTCCCGTCCGCGCCTCGCCCCCGGGCTCACCGCCGCCGCCTCAGCCGTAACCTCCCTGGAGCCTATAGAAATCTTTTGTGTGGCGTCACCGCCTTTCGTTTAAATCCCGCTTCCTCCTCTCGCCCTTCCTCCCGCCCCCTCCGCCGCTCCCGGATGCTTGCGCGATGCGCTGCTCCTCCCCCGGGAAGCTGGGTGGCTGCGGGAGGACGCCCCCGCCCAGCGCGGGCGCCGCGGGCTCCGGGCCGGTGGTCCCCGGCAGAGACGCGGGGGAGCGGACCGGAGGGAGGCCACCCTGGGCCTGGGGCTCAGCGCCCACACTTGGGAGACCCGGGCGCAGCCGCCGGTTGCCCTTACGTAAGCTCTCAGCCCGACCCCGGGCGCTTCGTGCTTTCTCCCCGCCCAGGGAGCAAGTCTCAAAGGTGGCCTGTTTTCTGGACCGAAGGGAGGACGCTTGGCACCGTCGCAGAGTGGTGTGCTGGGGTCCAGTCATCGCGTTTTGTGGATGTCGACCGCTCGGCCAGGCTCTCCTCCGCCTTTTGTTGTGTTTGCTCCTCTTCCAGGGTGCGATCCTGGAGGGACTGTGCGGGTGAGCAAAGAGCCCTGAAGACGGGAGTCCGAGAAGAGCTGAGCTGGCCGCTGGCGGCTTCCTCCCTTCAGTTCAATAGCCCTTATATAGTTAGAACGTGAGCTTTGAACCTGCTTTTTTTTTTTTTTTCCCCTGGGGTCAGTCTTCCCCAGCCATGTATGAGTTGTGTGACCTTATACAAGTTCTCTCTCCAAGTCTCCGTTTTTTCCTTTGGAAATCATATACTGTGCACTGACTGCCTGAGTACTTGGCTCATAAATGTAGCTCTGAGAATTATGAGCCTGAACTGGCACAGTCTGCCCTCCCATAATTTCTGTGTCGTCAGCTGCATAATGTAAGAATAGTGGCCAACAGTTAAATAAGAGAAGCAGCCTTCGGAGGTAAACACCCCCATTTTACAGATTAGGAAAGTGATGGTCAGATGCCTTATGTACCTTCCCAAGGTCAAGAAGATAGCAAATGCATGGGCAAGGAACCAACCGCCAACCTCTTTCTCATTTGACCCAGCCCTTGCTCTTCAGGAAGTGCTAGAAGCATCCAGGCTTCCCTCATCCCCTAAACCCGCCAGGGTCCCAGGGGTCCCCCCACTTCTTAGCCCTGAAACAAGCCGTCTAGGTGCCCAGCCCAGCACAAGCTGGGTGTTGTCAGCCAATGGGAATGTTTGTTCTTCTGCCCCTTTCTAGAACCTGCTACTGCTAAGTCACTTAAGTCGTGTCCGACTCTGTGCGACCCCATCCCTGGGATTCTCCAGGCAAGAACACTGGAGTGGGTTGCCATTTCCTTCTCCAATGAATAAAAGTGAAAGTGAAGTCAATGAGTCATGTCTGACTCTTCGCGACCCCAAGGACTGCAGCCTACCAGGTTTCTCCGTCCATGGGATTTTCTAGGCTAGTGTCACCTTTTTCCAGCCAGTTGTCACTTATAACTGGGATGGATCACCTTGCAATTTATTGTCCAAACAGAAACAGTTTTGAGAGTAACTGTGAGACGTGTTACTAATAAATTAACCAGTAACAACAGAGACAAACTTGAATGGTCACCCTGCTTATAACTTAAAGGGTCCTTGTATATCTTCTACATTCTATATGAACCTACTTATTTTGCAAACTGAGGCCTATAAAACTGCTCATATTCTAAACTAGCAGTGATTCTGTAGGGTTGATCCTTTTTATTTCTCTACTGGAGAAAAACAGTCGGATAAATCAAGGTCTTTCCAGGTAACCTAGGACTAGCACCCTGGTTTTAGTTAACTCTGAAAACTTCTGAGAAAGTCAGACCCCTCCATTCACATCCAGTTTTTTTCATTCATAAAACTGCTCTGGGGCCAGAGGATTTTTTTCCAAAGCCACTTCGTGCTGCCTGGGGTCCTACTTTGCTTCTACATGTGCACTCTCTTTGGTTGTCGTTGTTGGAATTTCTGAACCCCAACAACGATCTGTGACACTTAAAATGTCCCACTCTATTCAGTGACATTTGGTTTAGCTCTTAAAATCGGGTGGAATTGGTTTCTTGGCCCTCCTGGCTTCATTTGTCAGATATGGCACCTCTTCCTAAACAAACCCTTCCCAGTACTGACTCTACCTCCCTCTGGGTCCCCTTTACTTTCTGCCGTCTTTTATCCGCTGTACAAACAAAGGGCACCTACCACATGCCAGTCCCCGTGGCAGGCACAGTCACAGAATAATGTGAGGGCTTGACCTCTTCTGCAGAGCAGAGTCCAGAAAGGGCAACAAGGAAGACAGGTCATCACGACTATACTATTCATCTAGTGAAAGCAGAGTCAAGAAACTGGAGGGACTTGCCTGGTAGTCCAGGGGTTAAGACGCCCCACTGCCAATGCAGGGGGCATGGGTTCCATCCCTGGTTGGGGAACTAAGATCCTGCATGCCACATGGTGTGGTTAAAATAAACAAATAGGGAGATTTTAGAAAGAAACTATAGAATAGAATATTGTTCACCAAACAGTCTAGTTGCATTCGATGGGACCATGTGATCAGTCCTGAGCCTTGAGATGTCAGTGGTAGGGATATGGGTTGTCTCAGATGGAGGCTGGGGAAGGCCAATCTTAATTCTCCATCCACTCTCTTCCCCTGCTGTCTCTGCTCAGAAAACTGTGTCCTTGGAGGTGCAACTACCATAAGCCTCGGTGACCGAGGAGCAGACCCCCTCTACTGACTCTGTTGAACAGGTCACATGATCAAAAAGTAAACTCATTGTGGAGCCACTGAGATCCAAGGGTTGTTTGTTGCTGTAGCATATTTTCATCTAACTTGATTAACAGAGGAAGGCTGTGACTGCCCCTGGATTCTCTGCAGTAAGGGCATTTTCTTTAGAAAACTCCACCCATTACTTCCAATCCTCATTTAAAATTTTTATTGTTGTTTAGCGCTAAGTCCTGTCACACTCTTTGCAACCCCATGGACTGGGGCCCACCAGGCCCCTCTGTCCATGGGATTTCCCAGGCAAGAATACTGGAGCAAGTTGCCATTTCATTCTCCAGGTGATCTTTCCGACCCAGGGATCGAACCCACATCTCCTGCATTGGCAAGTGGATGGATTCCTTACCACTACGCCACCAGGGAAGGCTTTCTTTTAAAATTAAAATATGCCAAAACAATTTGAAAAAAAATTTTTAACAAGGTACTTCCCTGGTGGTCCAGTGGTTAAGACTCTGTGCTTCCAATGTAGGGGGTGCGGGTTCAATCCCTGGCTGGAGAACTAAGATTTCACATACTGCATGGTGTAGCCAAAATTAAAAAAAATTTTTTTTAATTAAAATATGATGTAAACCAAGGTATTTTTCATTAAAATGAAAACCGAGAGAAGAACGCTGAAAAGATTTGGGCCGAAGGACTGGCTAGGGGAAAGCGACTGGAATAGACGAGGAACTGGAGCTGTGCAGAAAATGGCTTGGCCCCTGCAGAATGTCTTCTCAGTGCCTGGCTCAAGGCCAACACTTAGTAGGCATTTAATAAATAAGTGAGCAAACAAGATTCAGCGAACAAGCTGATTCAGGATTTGGGGAGGAAGCCAAGGTCAGGAGGGGCAAGATTGTTGGAAACATGCTTTTCTTCCTTCTTCACCTGTTCTAGTAGGTACATCCTCCTCCTGGACTTTCAGCAGGTATAAGACAACTGGAGAAGGAAATAGCAACCCCACTCCAGTACTCTTGCCTGGATAATTCCACGGGCAGAGGAGCCTGGCGGGCTATAGTCCGTGAGGTCGCAAAGAGTCACACATAACTGAGCAACTGAGCACACAAAGACAACAGCGTGAGCCTCTGATTTTTTTTTTTAAATTGTGGTGAGATATTTATAACATGAAATTTACAATCTCGGTCATTTTTGTGAACCTAACCACAGTTCTGCCGTGTTAAGTATATTCACTTTGCTCTGTAACCATCATCACCATCCGTCTTCAGAAAAACCTGACATCTCCTCAAACTGAATTCTGTACCACTCCACAATGACTTCTCATTCCCCTGGAAGTCACTATTCTACTTTGTATCTCTATAAATGTGAATATTCTAAGTACTTTATTTAAGTGGAATCCTGTAATATTTGTCCTTTTCTGTCTGGCTTATTTCACTTAGAATAATGTCTTCATGGTTCACTGATACTGTCACATGTGTCAGAATTTTCTCCCCCTTTTTATTATTATTTTAAAAGATATTTATTTATTTGCATCAGTCTTAGTTGCAGCATGAGGGATCTACTTCCCCAACCAGGGATCAAACCTGGGCCCCCTGCATTGGGCGCTTGGAGTCTTAGCCACTGGACCACCAGGGAAGTCCCTTTTCTTCCCTTACAAGACTGAATAATGTTCCATTGTATGTATCTGGCCCTAGCCAGGTTTGATATAGAACACTGCAGATTTCCCTGGTGGCTCAGACGGTAAAGCATCTGCTTACAATGTGGGAGACCTGGGTTTGATCCCTGGGTTGGGAAGATCCTCTAGTGAAGGAAATGGCAACCCACTCCAGTACTCTTGCCTGGAAAATCCCATGGATGGAGGCGCCTGGTAGGCTACAGACCATGACAAAGAGTTGGACTGACTGAGCGACTTCACTTTCACTTTCATATCACACTGCCCTTTATAGACTTAACAACCAAGCTGTGTTTGGTCTACGGTGCCACCTGGTGGTCAGTAAGGGGCATTCCCTGCCCTAATGTATCTTAACCTTTGAAGCAGTGTTCCTGTTCTGTCTTTGTGGTTATAATAGTCCTTGTGCGTGCATGCATGCTCAGTTGTGTCAGAGTCTTTGCGACTCCCATGGACTGTAGCCCACCAGGCTCCTCTGTCATGAGATTTCCCAGGCAAGAATACTGTAGTGGGTTGCCATTTCCTTCTCCAGGGGAGCTTCATGACTCAGGGATTGAACCCACGTCTTGTGCCTCCTACACTGAGCCACCAGGGAAGGCCCTTGTGGGGGGGTCTGTAGTCATAGGTGGGCCAATTCATTCTCAGGCATTCTTTCTAACACATAGCTAAACATCTTCCTTAATATCTTCATTTCAATATCTCTTCTAAAGGAGAGAAATTTGTATCTGGAAAATTTACCCCTACTGTCTTTTCCCCAGATTTAGTCATTCTCCACAGGTGATGCATGAGAGTGGCATCTATTGGCCCGTGTTTCATTACGGAGCAGGGTCACGAGGTGACAGGTCACTCTCCTTACCCACCATGTCCTCTTTCTCTCTCGTATGCTTTGTGCTCATACAATAAAACCACCCGGGCAAGATCTCACCTATCCACTCTCATACCCACCCCCATCCCTCCCTGCCCTCCCTCCCTCTGCACTGTCTCTGTTCACCTGAAGCTAGTGTGTTTTGAGGGAGGCCTGTGTGCAGGGCCTGTTACATGCATGACAGTCACACCTGCGTCTTCAGTTTCCAAGATCTGGGATTTTCTGTAGTCTGCTTTATCAGGAAGCCCTACATGGAAGTGAAGGTTGCTTTCACAGATAAATTCTCTACCCCATTTCCCTGCTGGTTAATGACTTTTGGGTGTACTCTCCAGAATTCTGTAGGGGAGAAAAAATAAGTACTGAAATCTAAGCTCCCCAGACACCTAACACCAATCATGCCTAACCATTTTCTGATTTATGTTTTATTATTTTTTTAATTATTTCATTTTATTTTAATCTTATTGTTATATAATTTTAATTTTATTACTTTTTATTATATATATATAATTTTATGTTTATTCTTTTATTATTTATTTATATTGACTAATTTATGTACCTAGCACATAAACTAGTCAATAGCTACAGATATTAGATAATTGGGATTCTTATAATATTAATACTTGGCTATAGGGCTTCCCTGGTGGTTCAGCAATAAAAGAATCTGCCTGCTAGGGCAGGAGACGTTGGAGAGTCAGGTTTAATCTGTGGGTGGGTAAGATCCCCTGGAGGAGGGCATGGCAACCCACTCCAGTAGTCTTGCCTGGAGAATTCCATGGAGCCTGGCAGAGTACAGTCCATGGGGTTGCAGAGTCGGACAGACTGAGCATGCATGCACAGAATGACTAGCTTTATTGCTTCTTTACATGAAGCCTCCATGACCCCCAGACAGACTCAAGCATTTCTGCCCCCTTGTACCTACTGTGCTCTGTGCCTGGCCATTAGCATAGTGTATTTGTAACTCTCCGCTTAACTCTCCCTATCACCCTGTCATCCCTTTAAAGACAGGACTTGATCTGTGCATCACTGTGACACTGGACTGCCAGGGAAGTCCTATAATCAACTGCATTTTAAAAGTGGTAGGGGATGCATAGAAATGCACTGATCCTTCCAAAATACTGATGATACTGTTCTCGCCAGCCACCAGTGCATTGCATAGTCATCAATAAATAATTTAATGAATTCATTTGCAGTTCCCTACAAGAAGGTCCTCCTTTCCATGAACCAACATCCTGTTGCCCACAGCTCTTACTGAGTAATGGACAGAAAGTTATGGACCTTCAGGAACCCACAGAGGGGCTCGGCCTGTGTGTGATCATGATCTACAGCTCACAGCTCTTGGATTGAATACTAGGCCTTTGCTTAGCAGGTGTGTTCAGCCCACTTCCCTTACAACTTGTCTTGGAGAGTCCAGGAAGCGAGTTCTTCAGAAAGAGAGATTGTAAGTTCTCTAAACATAATTGCCTCTAACTGTGCTGCAAAGTATAGATGTTTCAGGTAACACAGATAAAATTCTTAGGAGATGAATTCAAATCACTTCCCTAAATTTTCAAGGCAATTGCAGTATTATAGATAATTTTAATTAAGTGTATTATTCTGAGAATTTTTGCTCAAATTAGACTTCAGTATTTGGGAAGCATCACTGCATTTATGCACACCCCCGACCCCTTTCGGGCGTCCCTAGTGGCTCAGCTGGTAAAAAGTCTACCTGCAAGGTGAGAGACCTGGGTTCAATTGCTGGGTCGGGAAGATCCCTTGGAGAAGGGGATGGCAACCCACTCCAGAATTCTTGTCTGGAGAATCCCACAGACAGAGGATCCTGGAGGGCTACAGTCCATAGGGTTGCAAAGAGTCGAAAGTGACTGACTGACTGACACTTTCACTTTCCCACCCCTTTTAAAACACAACTAATTACAGAACTTCCCTGGTGGTCCAGTAGCTAACAGTCCGAGCTCCCACTGCAGAGGGCCCGAGTTCAGGGAACTAGATTCCATACACCACAACGATGAACATACCACATGCTACAACTAAAGATCCTGCATGCCACAAGTACAAGATTCTGCATGCCCCAACTAAGACCTGGTACAGCCAAATAAATAAGTGAATAAATATCTAATAAAAAAATACAACTGACTTAAAATCCCATGCTTAGAAATAGCCACGATATACATATTTGCAGCTATTTCCCCATATATGCATATACATATCATTTTAATACCATGTTATAACATTTTGTCATTTAATAATATAAACATCTTTAATGTCAACAAATATACATCTACGACATCCTATTTAATGACTGCATTGTTTTGCATTGTAAATGTGGATTTTTCAGCCTACTGTAGTTGAACATTTAGGTTTGCTCCTGTTTTCTCATCTTACAGAGAGTGTTATGTAGGACTGATAACAGTGGATAAGTGAAGAAATACATGTACAGCGTTCAGAAGAGTGCCTGCCACATACTAAGTGCTGTGGATTATGACCATTTCTATTATTTTCATTGTCTATTTCCTCAGAGTCATTCTTAGAAGTGGAATTAGGCAGTTAAGAGTTTTGATACATTTCACCAAATTTTCATGCAGAAAGTCTCCATCTCCTTGAGAGGATGAAAATGCTTTTTTCCTGAGTCTTGCCAACAATGTACACTATCCTAATTTTTATTCTGGCCGCCCCAGTAGGTGAAAAAATTACATCTTATTTGAATTTGCATTTCTTTGATATCTACTGTGATAATCACTGCTGTACTTTTTCATATGCAAATAGGTTTATTTATTTTGGAGAAATAAAAATATGATTCCTCTCCGTTCCCATGTTTCAATCAGAAAGTTCATCTTTTTCTTACTGATCTATATGATATTTTTCTGTCTGCCATGTTGGAGTTTTCCTCCCAGTTTACTGTCTGCCTTTTAGCTTTTTTTCATGGTGTTTGGCAAAACACAAATTTTAAGTGTTTGATTTAATTATATGAGTCCTGCTCTCCTTTTCACAAGAAATGATGGTGATGGGGACCAGGAACAGACACCCACCTCAGCCTGGGCCAATCACATTCTCTCCTGGAAATCTGGAATTGTCAGAAGATAATCAGTTCATTGCTACATGTGAGTAAATAAAAACCTTAGGAGATATGTAGTAATTCTTCTTGCATTGGGTTAAAAAGTACAAAAGTAAAGTATAATAAATAGGGACTAGCTGAATGGTCTAGTGGCTAAGACGCCACACTCCCAGTGCAGGGGCTTGGATGCATCCCTGGTCAGGGAACTTGATACAGCACACCACAACTAAGAGTTTGTATGCCGCAACTAAAGATCCCACATGCTGCAAGGAAGATGGAAGATCCTAAGTGCTACAACTAAGACCCAGCACAACCAAATAAATAAATTAAAATTTTTAAAAAGAACAGTCATGGTCTCCCCTGTCTCCAGCTCAGACCCAATCTCAGGACCTTCTTCCCATGATTCCTCATGATTCAGTCTTTAAAGGGTAAATGTTTGGCACCACAGAGCCTCTTGAACTGAGCTGTACCCTTCAGGTCACAGGACTGAGTTCTGATGAGCTGGTAACTGTGCCATTCCAGTTTTTCAGTATTTTGAATATCACCCCTGCTTGATTACAGATATCGCTAGAGGACTTGCCTGCTGGGCCACTGGTTAAGAATCTGCCTGCCAATGCAGGGGACATGGGTTACAACCCTGGTCCTGGAAGACCCCACATGCCGCAGAACAACTAAGCTCATGCTCTGTGACTACTAAGTCTGTGTGTGCCTGGAGTCCATGTTCTGCCACAAGAGACGCCACCTCAGTAAGAAACCTGCCCACCACAACGAAGAGCAGTGCCTACACGCTGCAACTGGAGAAAGCTTGCACACAGCAATGAAGACCCCGCGCAGCCAAAAGAAAAAAAAAAAACATACATACATACATACATACATATATATATATATATATTTTGCTAGAAAGTCTTGCTGCACCCTCCAGCTGAGGCATCCCTCACATGTGGTGTGACACTACCCAAAAGGAGCCCAGCTGAGGCCACCTTAAGATGGGGAAGTTGGTGGGAGATTTGATTTTACCATTTGCAGCCACTGAACCTCTTAGAGTCACGGTTAGTATTAAACCCCAGGGCAACGGTGGCCTCATTTAAGCCATGAAGTGAAGTCTCTTTCACTTCTGTCCCCTCCTCTCCTGCCTTACTACATGCCCTCAGACCAGGTTCACACTTTTTTTCTTTATAGAATATATCACAATGTTGCTTCTGTGTTATGTTTTGGCTGTGTAGGATCTTAGTTCCCTGACTAGGGATTGAACCCTTATCCCCTGCATTGAAGGTGAAGTCTCAACCACTGGACTGCCGGGGGTGTCCCCACGTTCACATTCTTATCCCATCTCGGTATTCCTGCCTCCAGACTCCTTTTCGATGGGTCTTTCATCTGGCCTCTAGTTTAACTATCCTGAGTGCCTCAATGATTAACCCAAATGGTGCTATGCTGGGAGAAAGATATACCTCTTCATCCATAGACCAGGGTTCAGATTCTTCCCTGTCACTTCACTAGCTGTGGGACCTCAGACAAATGCAATTCCAAAATCAGGGTTCTCCCCTATTATTATCATCATATGATAACAAGGACCTCCTGAAATCTACATTATACTTTCTGTGGATTGTTCATCTCCTCTGCTAGTTTGCAGGCTCTTTAGTGCAGGAACCTTGTCATATTCATCTTTCCATCAGTGCCCATCTGGTTCTTGACTGACAGTAGACCTTGGACATCCCTGCTGGTCCAGTGGTTAAGACTCTGCACTTCCACTGCAGAGGACACTGGTTCAATCCCTGGTCCCGGAAGTTCCACATACCCTGTGGTGGGGCCAAAAAAAAAAAAAAGACAGCAGACCCTTAGTTCTGGAGAAAGGAATGGCTACCCACTCCAGTATTCTTGCCTGGAAAATCCCATGGATAGAGGAGCCTGGTGGGCCCCAGTCCATGGGGTGGCAAAGAGTTGGACACAGTTGAGCAACACAGACACACCCACCCACACACACACCCTTAGTTAAAATACATTCTCACAGGGTTGAACTGAATCAAGTTCCAAACATCAGATGGGTGAAAATGCAATCAATCCAGATGTTTCATACCTCTGGATAATAAACTGAATTCATTTCCTCCTTAGATGAAACTAGTCCTGGGATTTTTTATTTTTTAACACAATTCCAACAACTTCTGTAAAACATTAAATGATTTTTTTTTCTTTATCATTAGATACAATGGACCAGGAATCCCAGCACTTTTACACCTTAACTTAGCAGCTGGCAAAATGAGTGACCAGGGTGACCCCTCCCAGCAGAGCACATGACCAACCACAGCTGTGCATGTTTTTTAGCATGACTGCACCAGGACAGGCGCTGAGCCACTGGGTGGAGCAGTGCACTCTGGGGAGAAAGCTTATGACATTTCCCCTATGATTTCAGAAAAGAAAAAAAACTTTTTTTCTTATGAGTTGTTTCTGCTCAATGACAATAGGAAACGGCATAGCGTGTACATAGAAGGGAGTGATAGAGGATGAGCTGGCTGGATGGCACCACTGACTTAAAAGACATGAGTTTGGGAAACTGCGGGAGATGGTGAAGGATAGGAAGGAAGCCTGGCGTGCTGCAGCCCTTGGGGTCCCAAAGAGTCCAACACAACTGAGCAGCTAAACAACACCACATATAGATACAGGGTATCAGCCATCCCACAGTGGAAGAGCTTTAAACATCAACAGTCCTAAGTGTGAAAGTGAGGCAGACATTGTTAACTAGTTACCTGCTCAACTTTCACTTCCTCTTTTCCCTTAATGACAAAATCCCAGTTTTATTTGGGATGACAATGTAGATAGCCTCCCTTAGAAGGCTAGGTTCCAGCCCATGTGATGTAAATAGAAGTGCTCTGTGGAACATCCAAATGGGCTGCTTAAAGGAAGATGACTCCATTAAAAAGTGTGATCCTTTTGGCTTTTTTTCCTCCCTCCTTCCTCAGGATAAAAGTCATCTTGACCTTGAACTTGTGACCTTGAAATTGGAAGCCACAGACCAGTATGAGGGAGCAGGATGAAAAAAGAGACAGGGTGCCAGATGCTCAAAGAGCAAAAATACAAGCCCTTAAATGCTCAGTTTCCAGCTGCTTCTGAGAGAGAGGAATCAAACAATAACCACAAAGGCCTCTGTCTTATTTAAACCATTTTTTTTTAACAAATTCAATTTTGCTTTATATGTGGCCTATAATCTATCCGAGCAAGATATGTTAGTTTGCTAGGACATAAGACTCTTGACATTCCCTTGGACAGCAAGGAGATCAAACCAGTCAATCCTAAAGGAAATCATTTGTCTGGTATCTTTAGAGCCTTACTCTGTTGAAGTGATTCTCAGCTAAACATTATGTCTGTTTTAACTTTGATAAGTATTTCCACTTTTGTTATTTATTAGTGGTATCTTTTTTTTTAATTAGTGGTATCTTTTTTTGAAGTGTCAGATGTTGTGACTAAAATAAAATGTCATTATAATTTAAAAAAAAAAATCCTAAAGGAAATCAACCCTGAGTATTCATTGGAAAGACTGATGCTGAAGTTTCAATACTTTGGCCACCTGATACAAAGAGCTGACTCACTGGAAAATCCCTGATGCTGAGAAAGATTGAGAGCAATAGAAGGGGGCGACAGAGGATGAGATGGTTGGACGGCATCACTGACACAATAAACATGAGTTTGAGTGAACTCTGGGAGACAGTGAAGGACAGGGAAGCCTGGTGTGCCACAGTCCCTGGGGTCACAGAGTCAGAAATGACTTAGCAACTAAACAACAACAAAGTACAGACCAGGTGGCTTAAACCAGGGGTCCCAAACTTCTGGGATCTAATGCCTGATGATCTGAGATGGAGCTGATGCAATGTTAATAGGAATAAAGTGCATAATAAATACAATGCACTTGAGTCATCCCCAAACCACTGCCCCTGACCCTGGTCCATGGAAAAACTGTCTTCTGCAATATTTGTCCCTATTGCCGAAAAGGTTGCGGACCACTGGAATAAACAACATAAATTTATTTTCTCACTGTTCTGGAGGCTGCAAGTCCCAGATCAAGGTTGGGCTGGTTTCTTCTGATGCCTCCCTCCTTGGCTTGTAAATGGCCATGTTCTCCCTGTGTCTTTACATGATCCTTCTATATATCACTGTGTCCAAATCTCTTCTTTTGTATGGATACCAGTCATATTGGATTAGGGACCACCCCCAACAACTCATTTTAACTTAATTCCCTCTTTAGAGATCCAAACACAGTCACATTCTGAGGTACCAGAGTTAGGGCTTCCACATACAGAATTTGGGAGGATACCGTGCAGCCCATAACACCAGGCAGAAGTAAAGAGGTTTATTATAGCTCTTTTTTCTTTTGGTAATAGCATAAAAATTGGGGTGGTGCTAGTGGTAAAGACCTGCCTGACAATGCAGGAGACAGAAGTGGGTTCGATCCCTGGGTTGGGAAGATCCCCTGAAAGAAATGGCAAGCCCCTCCAGTATTCTTGCGTGGAGAATTCCATGGACAGAGGAACCTGGCAGTTCATGGGGTTGCAGAGAGTCGGACACAACTGAGAGACTAACACAACTGACATGACTGAAGTGACTTAACATGCAACCATCAACAGAGTAATAAGGAAATAAAGTACAAGTATATTAATACTATATTTTATTAATACTGTACTATACTTCCCTAGCAGTCCAGTGGTTAAGACTTTGCCTTCAAATGCAAAGGATGAGGGTTTGAACCCTAAGATCCCACATGCCTTGCAGCTGAAAAACCAAAGCATAAAACAAGCAATGTTGTAACAGACTCAATAAAGACTTTAAAAATGATCCACATAAAAAATTATTTTAAAAAATCAATGCATACTATACTGCAGTATAGTCAAACTTCATGTCATATTGGTAAGTCAAAAACCCTTAAAATGCTAGTAACGCATACCAACTTGTAATGTGGTCACATGTTAGTCATTCAGTCATGTCCGACTCTGCGACCCCATGGGCTGTAGCCTACCTGGCTCTGATGTTCATGGATTTTCCAAGCAAGAATACTGGAGTGGGTTGCATTCCCTTCCCCAAGGGGATCTTCCTGACCCAGGGGTCGAACTCAAGTCTCCTTCACTGCAGGGAGATTCTTTACCCTCTCTGAACCACCAGGGAAACCCATGCTGCCATAAACACACATATAAATGCAACAAAACCGTTTCTAGAGACACTTCGGTGTTTGCAAATGTACAGAAGAATGTATACAATATTCTAGAGAGTGATAACTGGTTTGTGTGGGACAGAATTGTGGCTGGTGTGGAAGAGAACACAATGTTTGTACAATGGTCGAATATTTTACAGCTACAGTAAGGGATTCGAGTCTTTCTCATCCAATTAAAAATTTAAAAGTCAGCAGATCAACTATTTAAAATCCGTGGAACTTTAAAGTATTTCTGGCCCGAATCTTTTAAAGCAAGAAACAACAACAAAAAACAGAATGATTCAACCTTCAAAAGGAATAGACAGAGCCGACAACATGAGGTTAAAATCAGAAGGGATACTGAAGTTGTTTTACAGATGAAAAGTAATGATTAAAAAAAAAAAAACTTTTTCAGTTTCAAGAGATGATAGTAAAAAAAAAGAACAAAAAAAGAGATGATAGTAATATTCAAAGACGGACTGAATTTTCTACTGAGCAGCAAACGACTGGGCCCAATCTATTTGTGATCTTCTGAGGAAGCTGCTTAACCTGCCACTGGCGTTTTTAAAGGAAATTGTAGGAGACTCAGGAAGCGTGTGACTTCGTGAAACGGGCTTTCTTGGAGCAAATGAGCTCCCAGAACTTCCAGGGCCACTTCATTTCACAGGCGAAAACTTGAGGCCTCGTGAGGCGCTGTTGGAGGATTCCTAGAGGCTCTGAGGGAACTTCTCGACCTGACTTACTCGTTAAGAGAGAAAAAGGTCGACCGCTGGCAGAAAAACAAGTAGAGCACCACACTGGGCAAAGCGCCTATGCTGGACCAACGGGAGGAGGCTGAGGGGCGGAGCCAAGATGGCGGAGGAGGCGGGGCTTCCGGAGGTGGGGGCCGGAGGAAATAGGACGGGGCGGAGCCTGGTAGGTTACCGAGGTCTGGGAGGCGGGGCCAAGGGGGGTTGGCCTTGAGCCCATGGAGGCTAGGCTGAAGGCGTGTCCCGCTCAGGCGCCGGCAAGGGGCGGGCCCAGGAAAGAGGCGGCCTGGGGTGGGGCCAGGGCTCGCGCAAGTCTGGTCCACGCGGTGGCGCGACTCTGCGCGGCAAAGATGGCGGCCTCCGGCTGGGCGCGCACCGCCGTGGTTTTTCTCTGTGCATGTGATCTGATGCTGCTCCTGCTGTTGCCGCCGAGGGCCTTCGCCGCCGAGGGCCCGGCCGAGACACCCGGCGAGGCCACCCCACCTCCCCGGAAGAAGAAGAAGGATATTCGCGACTACAACGACGCCGACATGGCTCGTCTTCTGGAACAGTGGGAGGTCTGCGGCGTGCGCACACCCTCCCGGCTCTTCTGTCCGGGGTCCCTTCCTACTGACCTCTTACCTCCTCCGTCTTGGGACCCTTTACACCTCCGTCTTGGTGTCTTTCGACCCCCTAACCTCTTCTGTCCGCATGCCAATGGCCCTTACTGACCCACTCCAGCTACCGCTGACCCTCAGTGCCTCTGACCACATCAGTCTGCCGACCCCCGCCCCAAAGCGTTCATCCCGATGTCCTCTTTCCACCGTTCCTCGGGCCACTGCAGTCACGAGTCAGCCTCTCACTTTTCACCCCTATTTGTCATCCCTCGGCGTTGCTCCCGGTGGTCAGCGAGCCCTTCTAGTGAAGGGCGGGGGGAGACCTTTTCCATCCCATTCCTGAGAACGGAGTGCGTGGGTGGGTGAGGGGTATGGAGAGGATTATCTTCCAAGAGCGCCGTCTCAGCTTTCGTCGTTCTCCCGCGTTCTAAATAAGGATTCACAGTTCCCATTTTGGTATATGTCCCTGCTGAAAGTTTTTGTAAGTTTTGTGCGTGCCTTTAATTTTTTGGACGGGATAGGAGGCGTTATTAAAGGCTAGTGGTTTTTTGTCTTGGAACTCACATTTTTCGTTCAAGGGAGCAATGACTTGCTTTTGTGCGAGTCAGTTTTCTGGTTACTTGAATGGGCTGGAATGTGTAATGGCAGGGAGAGGGTATTAACCTTTTTAGGTGAAGTTCACTAACCAAAACCATTGTTGCTGCCTCTTGCCCATCCATAGGTGGTTGTGTTTTCCTGGTTTATTTGCACTGCTGGTGAAGTAATGTCAGAAACTTGGGTTCCACTGTGTGTGATCTTGAGTGAGTCATGTTTCCACCCTAGACCTCAGGTTCCTTATGTGCAGAATGAGATTTTACTGGATGATTTCTTCCAGTGCTGATGTTTTATTATATTGTGGTTTCCCATGTGTGTATGTGGGCTTCCCAGGTGGCTCAGTGGTAAAGAATCCGCCCGCCAGTGCAGGAGATGAAGGTTCTATCCCTGGTCCGGTAAGATCACCTGGTAGAGGAATTGGCAACCCACTCCAGTATACTAGCCTGGGAAACCCTCTGGACAGAGGATCCTGGCAAGCTACAGTCCATGGGATTGTAAAAGAGTTGGACACAACTTGGTGACTGAGCACGCATGCACGTGGTGTGTGTATTAAATAGAGGCTTTCAGACGTGAGTTTTAGTACCATCTGATGTATTAACCTTGGTAGCTTTGTGATCCTCATTTTCCTTATCTTTAAAGTCGGATAGCATCCCACTTTGCAGGGTTCCTTTTTAGGTGAATTGAGCTCCCCTTTGCAGACACTGCAAGTGTGAAAGCCCTGCCCCAGCAATTGCAGTCTTTCTGTGGGAGAGCAGATCCATCTCTGGGTGCTTTTTTATTTTTAATCTCTCATTTTTAAAAACAATTATTTTATTTTTGGCTGTGCTGGGTCTTCGTCACTGCGCACATGCTTTTTCTAGTTGTGAGCAGGGGCTACTCTCTAGGTGCAGTATGTGGGCTTCTCATTGAGGTGGCTGCTCTTGCTGCGGAGCACGAGGGCACTAGGTGCATGGGCTTCCTTGCTCTTCCCGGACCAGGGATCGAACTCGTGTCCCCTGGTTTGGCAGACAGATTCTTTTTTTTTTTTAATTAATTAATTAATTTATTTTTTATCACAACCATAGTGTATCTTTTTTTTTTTTTTTTTTACATGTATTCCCCATCCCGGTCCCCCCTCCCACCTCCCTCTCCACCCAATCCCTCTGGGTCTTCCCAGTGCACCAGGCACGAGCACTTGTCTCATGCACCCAACCTGGGCTGGTGAACTGTTTCACCCTAGATAATATACGTGTTTCAATGCTGTTCTCTTGAAACATCCCACCCTCGCCTTCTTCCAGAGTCCACAAGTCTGTTCTATACATAGGAGTCTCTTTTTCTGTTTTGCACATAGGGTTATCGTTACCATCTTTCTAAATTCCATATATATGTGTTAGTATACTGTAATGGTCTTTATCTTTCTGGCTTACTTCGCTCTGTATAATGGGCTCCAGTTTCATCCATCTCATTAGAACTGATTCAAATGAATTCTTTTTAATGGCTGAGTAATATTCCATGGTGTATATGTACCACAGCTTCCTCATCCATTGGTCTGCTGATGGGCATCTAGGTTGCTTCCATGTCCTGGCTATTATAAACAGTGCTGCGATGAACATTGGGGTACACGTGTCTCTTTCAGATCTGGTTTCCTCGGTGTGTATGCCCAGAAGTGGGATTGCTGGGTCATATGGCAGTTCTATTTCCAGCTTTTTAAGAAATCTCCACAGTGTTTTCCATAGTGGCTGTACTAATTTGCATTCCCACCAACAGTGTAAGAGGGTTCCCTTTTCTCCACACCCTCTCCAGCATTTATTGCTTGTAGACTTTTGGATAGCAGCCATCCTGACTGGTGTGTAATGGTACCTCATTGTGGTTTTGATTTGCATTTCTCTGATAATGAGTGATGTTGAGCATCTTTTCATGTGTTTGTTAGCCATCTGTATGTCTTCCTTGGAGAAATGTCTGTTCAGTTCTTTGGCCCATTTTTTGATTGGGTCATTTATTTTTCTGGAGTTGAGCTGGAGGAGTTGCTTGTATATTTTTGAGATTAATCCTTTGTCTGTTGCTTCGTTTGCTATTATTTTCTCCCAATCTGAGGGCTGTCTTTTCACCTTGCTTATAGTTTCCTTTGTTGTACAAAAGCTTTTAAGTTTCATTAGGTCCCATTTGTTTATTTTTGCTTTTATTTCTAAAATTCTGGGATGTGGGTCATAGAGGATCCTGCTGTGATTTATGTCGGAGAGTGTTTTGCCTATGTTCTCCTCTAGGAGTTTTATAGTTTCTGGTCTTACATTTAGATCTTTAATCCATCTTGAGTTTATTTTTGTGTATGGTGTTAGAAAGTGTCCTAGTTTCATTCTTTTACAGGTGGTTGACCAGTTTTCCCAGCACCACTTGTTAAAGAGGTTGTCTTTTTTCCATTGTATATCCTTGCCTCCTTTGTCAAAGATAAGGTGACCATAGGTTCGTGGATTTATCTCTGGGCTTTCTATTCTGTTCCATTGATCTATATTTCTGTCTTTGTGCCAGTACCATACTGTCTTGATGACTGTGGCTTTGTAGTATAGTCTGAAGTCAGGCAGATTGATTCCTCCAGTTCCATTCTTCTTTCTCAGGATTACTTTGGCTATTCGAGGTTTTTTGTATTTCCATACAAATTGGCAGACAGATTCTTACCCACCGTGCCACTGGAAAATCTAAGGGCGCTTTTTTGAAGGAAATGTACCTCCTCCCCTGGTGGAGGTCCCTAAGGTCTTCCCCCGTCCTCTGCCAGTGTGAAAGTCATCGCTGCAGGGAGAGGCCTGCCTCAGGTGTGTGTAGGGGGTGGGGGTGGTGGCAGGAACGGTGGCACTCCTTCCACTGTGTTAATGAGTCCCTGTTGGTGTAGAAAAACCAAAGGTGATTCTTACGTTACTGTAACCAGGTGGCACCAGGTGCCGGGGAAGGGATAGGTGGGGAGATAGGAGCAGAGCCAGACAAGCGAGTTTGTACTTAAGTGTCACCCTGTCAAGCCGGTGACCTGGAGTCAATTATTCACCTTCTCTGGGCCTCATCCACAGCTCAGTTCAGTGTGCATCCTACAGGGTTGTCCTGAGGTAAGTGAAAGTCGCTGTTGTGTCCAACTCTTTGCGACCCCATGGGCTATACAGTCCATGGAATTCTCCAGGCCAGAAATACTGGAGTGGGTAGCCATTCCCTTCTCCAGCGGATCTTCCCAACCCAAGGATTGAACCCAGGTCTCTCACATTGCAGGCAGATTCTTTACTCTCTGAGCCACCAGGGAAGCCCTGTCCTGAGGTGGGATATACTAAATGAACAATGCCTGTGACCTAGTAGCTTCTCAGGAGATGGTAGCTGGTCTTATTGTCAAGGACTTGGGAGGACGAAAAGCATTTACAGGATAAGGGAGTTCAGCTCTGTAGCTATGAATATTGACAGACAGCATTGGAGAGGTGGTGAAGCCAGTCAAGAGTGAAAGACTGGCCTGGAGGAAGGGCCGCATAGAGTGTGGGAATGGCCACTTGGTCACATTCTCCGCCCCCAGCCCTGCCTGGGGGTGAAGGTGTAATTGCTTTCAGTTTAAAGGAAGTGATAGAACAGGTAAGATTACTCAGGGAAGCAGTGCATCTAAGAGTAGACCTGGACAATTGCACCTACATCTGAGGTGTTGGTTTTTCTGTCAGGCCCGACTTTTTGTGACTCTGTGGACTATAGCCCGCCAGACTCTACTTTCCTTCACTACCTCCCGGAGTTTGCTCAGATTCATGTCCATTGAATCGATGATGCCATCCAGCCCGTCTGATCCTATCTGTAGCCCACCAGGCTCCTTTGTCCATGGAATTCTCCAGGCACGAATACTAGAATGGGTAGCCATTCCCTTCTCCAGGGGATCTTCCCGGCCCAGGGATTGAACTTGGGTCTCCTGCATTTCAGGCAGATTCTTTACCATCTGAGACCCCAGGGAAGTCCGTACTATCTCCTGGAGTTTGTTCACACTCATGTCCATTCAGTCCGTGATGCTGTCTCAACCATCTCGTCCTCTGCTGCTACCTTTTCTCTTACGTCTGTGGTACTCTGTTTTTTCTTTTCGTTTTGTAACTGAAACTCACAGTCAGACGTATAAAATAGATATTAAAGGTTCTTGAAAAGATCCTTAATCTTACTGTATGTGCTAGACTTCTGATTAATTATATTTTCATGAAAAAGAAATGGTCCTTGTAACCTATGGAGTTAATGCCATGACTATTAGTAGAATCAGCTTGAAAAATAAAAATATTCTAGGTTGTTGACCCAGCTAGAAGTCTTGAAGTATTCTAAGGAGACCATAAACAGGTATTATGGAGAAATAGAATAGAATACAGTCAGAAACAGCCTGTGAGTTTGGCCACCAGGAGTTCCTATGTACTTTAAGAAGGTGATTTCAATAGTTGTTTGGAAGCTGGGTTACAGCGGGCCATGAGTCTTAGCAAACTCCAGGAGATGGTGAAGGACAGGGAAGCCTGACATGCTGCAGTCCATGAGGTCACAGAGAGTCTGACATGATATAGCGACCGAACAAGTGGTAACAGCACCATGTATTAAGTATGTATTGCTTGCCTTTATGTCATTAAATTCCCAGGCAAGCTTAGAGGGGAGATGCTGTGATCACCCCCCTCCCCGTTAGAGGTGAGGGAAAATGATTTTCCACTAAGGCCACATGGCGAAAGGACTGGTGCCTGGAGCCACACGCAGGCCCACAGGACAGTGCAGCTCATGTGCTTGCCTGCAGGTCGCCAGCAGCTCTTTCAGAGCCAAGTGAGGAGGAAATGGGTCAGTTGAGAGGGTGGCAGAGTTGAGGAAAAGGTTGGCCCCACACTGCTAGGGCTGTGGGGATCACCCAATTCTGCTTTTCCTTTTATAGACAAGGAGACAGGCCTAGAGGATTATGGAGTCTGGTCCAAGGCCATTCAGGTGAGTTAGGGAGCTGAAGCCAGATCAAATATGGATCCCCTTCAGACATGGCTTTAGAATTATCTTGTTCTCTTATTAAAAATATGTTTAATACAGGACATTATTGTTGATGTCTTAAGCCTCGGCCCTTCAGTGATTTGTCAAGAGGCCCATGTAGTGATATATAGGGCTTTTTGTTTCATTTTAGGTTGTTTTTTTGTTGTTTTAAGTAACAGCTTTACTGTGATATAGTTTACAGGCCTTATAAGTTCCCTCATTTAAAGTGTACATTTCAGTGGTTTCTGGACTGTTCAGAGAATTGTGCAACCAGCACCACAGTCAATTTGAGAACATTTGCTTCACCCCCAGAAAGAAATTGTGGTCTCAGTCACCCCTCCCCGCATTCTTCCCAGCCCTCCAGCCAGCCCCAGGCAACTTCTCATCTGCTTCCTGTCTATAGTTTTGTCTACTTTGGATGTTTGGTATAGATAGACTCCTGCAGTGTATGTTTGGTCTTCTCCTTCACTTAGTGTGATGTTGTCAAGGATCATGCATATGATAACATCAAGCATATGTTTTTTCCTTGCTGAAATTAGCCTTTTCTCCAAGGAATAACTGGTTCTTTTGTGTATTTTTAGCTCATTTATCTTATATTTATTTAGTTGGCATTCTGTTGTTAATAATTAATTGTCTTGTTTATTTCTGTGGGCCTGGATCCAGTGGTTCTTACTTTGTTTGGGGAGTTCTAAACCATTCTGTCATTATTTTGATTTTCAGATTATTCCTGATTAGGTCCACAAGCTCTGCTTCATGCTGGCTTCTGTGTCATCCTGACACATCCCATAATCCCATGAACACTTTCTTACTTTCTGATACAAGAAGATGTTCCAGACTAATCTGTTTCCTTTGCCAGAATTAGCTTTCCCCTGTGGAACACTAGTTCTTCTAAATATTTTTATCTTGTCTATCAAAAAGATCATAGGTTCCTTCTGCTGCCTCCAATTCCAGCCCAATACCACGGGTGCAGTCTTCTACTTTTGTATTTATAACTCCCCACCCAAAGGGGAGGACCCAGCTCTGACTATCCTCAGTGCATCAGTAGGTATTCCCTTCTCAAGCCTAGAGTTCACAGGTCGTGATTCAGTTGCTCAGTGGCATGTGGGATCTTCCTGGACTAGGGATCAAGCCCATGTCCCTTCCATTGGCAGGCGGATTCTTAACCACTGGGCCACGAGAGAAGCCCTTCTGCTATGATTTAGGTCATAAACCAGCCCTGACATTACATGCGGACATTCTTGCCTTTGCCAATTGCAGTGCACACTGTGTGATGCTTCCCTCCCCCACCCCCCGTCCTTACAGAAAGATGACGACATAGAAGAAGGAGACCTCCCAGAGCACAAAAGACCCTCTGCACCGATAGACTTCTCCCAGATAGACCCGGGCAAGCCCGAGAGCATACTGAAGATGACGAAGAAGGGCAAGACGCTCATGATGTTTGTCACCGTGTCAGGAAAGCCCACCGAGAAGGAGACGGAGGAGATCACCAGCCTGTGGCAGGGCAGCCTTTTCAACGCCAACTATGACGTCCAGAGGTAGAACCACAGCCTTGCCGAGAAAAGTGGGTTGTGCTGGGCCTTACCTCTGTTGGTGTAATGGGTGTCATTCCTGGCAGTACTTGGCAGGGCCCTGGACCTTTCCTGTCTAGTCCGTCGCTTTTACATTTATTTACCTAGTTTATTTATTTTTCTTTGAAGAAGACCACTCAGGTTTGGTCAAAGCCAGTAAATTTGTTTGTTTTCATATCTCATTTGATCCAAAAGCCATTTATCTATGTATCTTGAACTTCCCTTTTATCTGAGTAAGAAGCTATATAGCTTTGCCTCTGGGGGGCGGGGGTGGAAAATTAGTTGACGTCTGAGTGTGCCTCTTCCCTTAGAAGTCCCTTCCCACGGGACTGTAGCTGTGTTCACGCAGAAGCTTGGACCAGACTCTGTTACTTTAAAGTGAAGGAGTCTGGTCATCATGGGTCAGTATGATCCTGAGATGCAGTTTTGAGGAATTTCCTTTTTCTTCATCAATAACGGTTTCTGAAATGTAGCATCTTCCAATATTTTCCAATATTCAGGAAGTACCAAAAGAATCAAAAGGAATACTCAGAGTGTCTAGGGTGGCAGAGTGCTTTTGTGAGCATAAGTAGACACCGGGGAACGAGCGAGTGCTGTGGTGGTGATGGGCCCGAGCTCTCACTGATAAGAGTTGGGGGGACGGTGCTTTACACATGCCCGGACTCGGTTCTGTTCCTCTCTGCTCCTTGGGACCTGCGGAGTGGACGTGCTTGGCTGCTAGTGGTTAACCTCCGGGGTTGAGTTCTGTCCAGTCACCGAGCCTCCTCCTGAGCCCTTTGGGGGCCTCTTGTGACCCAATCCAAACTCCTGTATGTCAGTCTGTGTCAGCAGAGGCCTTTTGTCACATGAAACCTTAACTGGGCTCTTAAGACTGTAAAACAGACCCAAACATCAGCCTCCCCTCGATTCCGTGGGAGAGGTCCTGAGCCCGGCCCATCTACAGCCTCCCAAGGCCCCCTTCTGACCCCTCCCTTCACGTGAGCAGCCCCTGCACCGCACACACAACCCAGGTCCTCTTTCTCTTTTGATCTGAGCCGACTTGTTAAATAGTTGAGCCAGCTAGTACTTTCCAGCAGTGAATGTCAACAGCTTCTAGGCCTGGGGAAATAGGACACTTTGTTTTGTGTTCATGTAGAATTTGAAGGGGATTCTCTTTTCTTAGTTAAGTGCCGCAGGCCTGTTCTGAACCGTTAGCCCTGCACCAACTGTGTGCTGACCGTGGTCCCCTCTGTCTGTCCAGGTTCATCGTGGGGTCAGACCGTGCCATCTTCATGCTGCGTGATGGGGGCTACGCATGGGAGATCAAGGACTTCCTGGTCAGTCAGGACAGGTGTGCTGACGTGACCCTGGAGGGCCAGGTGTACCCTGGCAAAGGGGGAGGAAGCAAAGAGAAGAATCAAACCAAGCAAGAGAAGGGCAAGAAAAAGAAGGAGAGAGACCCGAAACCCCGGGCTTCGAAGGAAGACAATCGGGCTGGGAGTAAGAGGGAAGAGCTGTGACGGGGCAGCCTCGCTGTGCAGAGGAGGAGGGCATGGGCGACCACACACTCACAGGCTTCTCGTCTCTGCTGAGAAAGGTCTGCCATGTGGCCAGTTTCTGGTCAGCAAAAGAATTACTGTTTAAAAGGCTTCAAGTAAGAGGACAGAGGTTTTGTAATTAACATGGAACACTGACAGATTCACATTTACCATAAAATCACTTTCAGTGGAAACTTGCAGGTGTGGCTTTTTCCCACTGAAATGTGGAGGCATCTTTGGCTGGACCATGGCACCACAGCCCTGGCCCTACCTGCTTTGACCTGCAGCCTTCTGTATTGTTTCTCTTAAACAAAAGGATACCAGGTTCTCATCAGACAAACTTAAGACCCTCAGATGCGTTGAATCAGTCTCTTGCAGACACCACGTCCATTACTGTGAAATTAAAAACAGGCCACAGGAGCACAACTCAGTGCTCCGACATCTATGTACACAGTCAGGACGCCAGGACACGTGAATCCCAAGTCTCTGCAGAAGACATAGAACAGAAAATCACGCAGCTTGAAAATCCCAAGTAATCACTTGAAATTTATTGGATTTAAACCCCTCTCATCAGTTACGGAGAACTCTTGATATCAGTCAGATTTTGTGTGGTCTGTGAATCCAGGGGTCCTGTCCAAACAGGACCTTACTTAGGAAAGTAGTGCTGGTGTCACGAGTCATGTGCTCCATCTAACATGATGATTTTCCAGGGTGTGACTCGCGCGTTGGCCAAGCTTCTAAACCTGTTCCTTTGATAAAGTGCCTAAACTTGTGGTGATTTTGTATGGTACTAATATGATGTGCTACCTGTTACTGTCTGACGTTGCTGTTCCTGTGTCACAGCCTGCTCTGAGTGAGAGTTACAGAATTTATACCTAGCTGTCATTTCTAAGAACTAAAATAATTTGTTAAAAAAAAAGAAAAGCTTCCATCATGATTTTAGCAAATTCAGAAAAGCTTAGAAATCATCATTAATGGTACAGAGTGAAACGTCTCCCCTTGCCCCCCACTGCCACTGCCTTGTGGAAGCTGCTGATAATTTGTTTTTATAAAAAAAAACAAACACACTTACCAGTTTATAGTGATCTGTGGGATGATACGTGTTTGTTTTAGCCTCATGGCACCTAGTTCCCGTTATTTTGATAACTTATTTTCTGATTTCCATGTAATGATCCATGCACGCTCCATTTTCTGTTCTGTGCTGGGTTGGTGGGGCGGGGGGTGGATGTTTACCCTGTGGGCCCCCCACTCCAGGGTGGAATTAATCCTAGGGTGAGTTTGCATGAGCCACCTCAGGAATCCCTGGTAACTCAGATGTTAAAAGAATGTGCCTATGATGCAGGAGACCTGGGTTCAGTCCTTGGGTCAGGAAGATCCCCTGGAGAAGGCAGTGGCAACCTGTTCCAGTATTCTTGCCTAGAGAATCCCTGGCGGGCCACAGTCTGTGGAATCTCAAAGGGTGGGGACACGATTGAGTGACTTAACACACACACACCCCCCAGGAAGAGGTGTTTTCTGTTTCTCGCACAACTTGCACCCAGGAGAGTGAGGCTGGAGCTGCTATTGCCACCTTGCCCCCTCCAGGGGAGAACTGTCTCAGGCTGGAGGATGAAGCAAGCAATCGGGAGAAGCAGGGGGAAGAGCGGAGTCCTGGTGGGGTCAGCTGAACGCCTACGTTGAGCCCTGCCAGAAGCCAGCACTGTCCACAGGTGTTTTCAGTTTTCACTTGGGCCGTTTGTTAGGTTTCTGCCATCTGTGCCTGTAGTGGCCTGGTCCACTGTCCTGATCCAATGTGTGTCTTTTTTAAACAGAAGGACATTACCTTCATCCAACCCAACTTGTGTTCCCTTTGAACTGTCACAGCATGCCTGCCAGTCTTTTTGCTTCCCATGGGACGTGCAGCCACATCAGCCTGTACTAAACAAGCGTCTGTTACGTGCTGGGCTCCAGAGTGCCAGGGACTGTGTACCCGCAGCCCCTGCTTTTGTGAAGCAGTGATTCGGTGGGAAAGACAAATGGTAATCCTGGACAAGGTGACATGGCAACTGTTAGAAACAGGAAAGAGCAAGATGTGAAGGGATCTTGGGATAGTCAGGACCTCTCAGGCAGGAGGAGGGAGTAACCAGGCAGAGGAAACAGTCCATGCAAAGGCCCTGTGGTTAGAAGTGACAGGAAGGACAGCAGGAAGGCTGATGGAGAGCCTGGGGGCACAGCACAGCACCAGGCTGGACGGGTGAGTGACGAAGGTTTGTGGGGGCTTTGAGCTTAGGCAAGTTTGTGGGATCTCTCAGAAACAATACACCTTTATGAATGAGAATTATGACAGCAAAGATTTATTTAGAAGATTCCTTTGTAGGAGGGATCCATTCACTTAGAGAATCTGCCTCTGGGGACTTCCCCAGGGGTCCAGTGGCTAAGATACATGCGCTCCCAATGCACGGGGTCTGGGTTCCATCCCTGATCAGGGAACCAGATCTCACATGCCGCAACTAAGCCGTGGAGCAACTAAATAAATACTTTTGAAAAAGAAAATCTACCTCTGCAAGGTGGTTGGTAAGGTATGGAGCTACTTTACCAGGCAATAAAGCTTGTCACCCTGGCTAGCCTGCCCCCCACCCCCTCCCAGGGAAGCCCCAGACCTTGCATACCCCAGTGATGAGGGTGAAGGCTGGAGCATGTGTGGGGGGTGTGCAGGGTCTGCTGGAGATCGGAGAGGCCTGAAGGATTTTAGCTGTGGTGGGATAGATTCGAGGGGTTATCCGATTTGCACTGGTGGGACTGGAAGCTAACAGGAGCAGGGGTGAGGGGCAGGTTGGGAGGCTATTTCAGTGGTTTAGGCCTAGGTCAAAGGTGGTGCAGCGAGCTGGGTGGTGGTGAGGTGTGACGCACAATTCACTTGCACAGCCCCTGCTAATGGACGCTGAGTTTTCAGGGTCTCGCTAGTTTGTTCAAAAATGCTGCCCTGGACATTTTAATAAATGTTATCACATACTTTGGTAACTTGTGCTTATATCTGAGGGGCAGATTCCTAGCAGTGGAATGCTGAAACAACCGAATTTTCACCTTCTGGTATGTTACTGTGAAGTGGCCCTCCAGAGTGGTTGTATTAACTTACCTTTGCTAGCAATAGACCTCAAAACCCAGCCGGCACTGACCATTATACTTGCCATTAAGATGTGAAAACCAGGGTTTCCCTGGTGGCCCAGTGGTTAAAAAAGAAAATCTGCTTGCCAGTGCAGTGGATGTGGGTTGGATCCCTGGTCCAGGAAGATCCCACATGTCTCAGGCACTAAGCCCTAAAGGCAGGTACCAAAACTGTTGAGCCCATGTGGTGCAACTATTATTGAAGCCCATGAGCCTACAGCCTGTGCTCCCCAACAGGAGAAGCCACTACAATGAGAGGCCCATGCACTGCAACTCGAGAGGAACCCGCATTTGTGGCAACTAGAGAAAAGCCTGGGCAGCAACAAGGATCCAGCTCATACAACCAAAAACAAAAACAAGTTTGTTTTTTTTTTTAAAGAAACTGAAAACCACATCTTCATTGGCTCCCCTGAAGCCACCAGACTGGAGAGGCCATGTGCAAAGGCCACACAGAGATAAAGATGCCCAGAGAGCCCCACCTGGTCCAGTCCCATTTGGGGCCTTCACAGCCCAGGTGCACACAAGTAAGCAAGTGAGTCTTCAGATAGCCCCAGCCCTCAGGACGTCACGGATGCAGGAAGCAGAGGAGCTACCCAGAAAAGCTATGCAGATTCATGAACAAGAGAAATGCCATATTTAAAGTGGAGAGTGGGATTATATATAATACATATTACACGTTCACATGTATAAATTCATTTTTACTTCTGCATGTTTGTTTTCACCCTGAATATTCATTGGAAGGACTGATGCTGAAGCTGAAGTTCCAATACTTTGGCTACCTGATGTGAAGAGCCAACTCATTGGAAAGACCCTGATGCTGGGAAAGATTGAGGGCAGGAGGAGAAGAGGATGAGAGGATGAGATAGTTGGATGGCATCACCGACTCAATGGACATGAGTCTGAGCAAACTCCTGGAGATAATGAAGGATAGGGAAGCCTGGCGTGCTGAGGTCCACGGGGGCACAAAGAGTTGGATACGACTGCGTGACGGAACAACAACATGTTTATTGTCATGTCTCTTGCTTTAATACAGTCACATGGCATTTTTTACTATCAACTATGAAACATGGAAATGTAATAGTCCTCCTACCTCTCTGGTTTCTGGTGATCAGACTGTAGTTTTTAGTACTTCTGGTGGTTTCCTTTACATTATTAAACCTCTTCCCTGGTGGCTAAGATGGTAAAGAATCTGCCTGCAGTGCAGGAGACCTGGGTTTGATCCCCCGGTCAGGAGGATCCCCTGGAGAAGAAAATGGCAACCCACTCCAATATTCCTGCCTGGAGAATCCCGTGGAGAGAGGAACCTGGCAGGCTACAGTCCATAGGGTTGCAAAGAGCTGGACACGACTGAGCAACTAACACTTTCACACTTTCAGTATGTGTTAACTCCTCATCAAGGTGGGAAAATTCTCAAACTTCCTTCTGTCTCTGGATTCTTGTTTAAAAGAGTTATTTGCATGCTGACAAGGTGTATAACATATCCATGGCTCCATTGGAGTGTTCTGAGACCAGTATTATCTTTTCTCTTGAAAGGGACTATTCTTTCTATTAAATACTGGAGATCCTGCCTCAATCCTATTGATAATATTCAGTAATTTTGCTAAGAAGTCCTAGAGTTAATTTTTCTTTTTTTTTAAAAATTATTTATTTATTGCTTCAGATGTTAGTTGCAGCACGTGATATCTTTTTTCCTTTTTAGTTTCGGCGTGTGAACTCTTAGTTGTGGCATGTGGGATCCAGTTCCCTAACTACAGATCAAATCCCGGCCCCATGCATTGGGAACATGGAGTCTTAACCACTGGGCCGCCAGGGAAGTCCTTGATTTTTCAAAATTTTTT